GAGCGCCTCCGGGGCCCGACGGGATCGTTCCTCTGTCCTCAGGCCGTAACGGACCCGCTTGACCCCGAATAAGAAAACGAACCCCCCCAGCTCTCAGGCAGCGGCACCGAAGCACCCCCCGGATCGCAGCCCCTCCGTGCCGTTCCCGTGTTCTCACGGCCTCGGAGCTCGGTGGGACCCGGGTTTGCTCCGGCACCGACAACAACCGCTCTAATTAACAACCGACACTAATGAATCACTGCTGCAAACCCTCCTCTCACGTTGCAACTACTTCTTTGCCCGTGTCCCGGTTTCGGCTGGGACAGGGTTAAACCGCGGCCGTTTACGAGCAGGAATTTCTGATCTTGCTCTGCACAGGCAGCCGCTGCCGGGAATTTCGCTCGTCTTTCCTGCGAAAGCAGAGTCAGCAGTTTTAAGAAGTCGTGAGGGTTTTACGGGTTAGACATGCCACCAACAAAGCCCAGTTTAAAACACTGCCCTGCTCGGGTCTTCCTTTGCGTGCCCAACGTGCCCAGGCTAAACCGTGACACGGGGAGAGCCGCGTTTCTCAGAAATAAGAACCGTGCCGGAAGTTCTGGCTTGCTTCCCAAATTACTGAGCTGTGCGAATTCTGCTTTCCAGAGCGTGTACAGCCACCTGGCCCTAACCGGAGGAATCCAGCCGTTCACCTTGCAGCAGGAGGCCATTTGCCACGTAAACCCAGCGCTGGGAACAAGATTCACACGAAACTCAGATGGACGCAGCTTAGAGTAGAGTGTGGAAAAGCGTGAGGGGGAATATCCATCCCCCTCCTCTCCAATTCTGACATCGGTTTAGCGACTTGGAGCTAGTCCGAGCTCAGCACCCACCCCCTGCGTCCCCCTCCGCCATCTGGGGAGGTTCTGTGCCATCATTTAGCACCGTGCTTGGTACGAGCCCCGTGTTTTACAGTGGGAACGTTCCCTGGGAGCTCAGCTGGGTGTTGTTTCTGGATGGGGTCCATAACCCGCCCACGAGAAAACATCCATTTAGTAGTTCCTTTCCCAAACCAAGTATGAAGCACTCCACAGACTTTATTTTCTTTTAAAATGCGTGTGTAAGCACCCTCTTTCTCCAATACACTACTCATTTTGGTAACGGGAGGACAGGCAGGTAGTAAATTGCGCAGAACTTGGCTCAAAGCTGTTGTCATAACTGACCTGTGACAGGAGCATTGCTCCCTCTTCTTGCTCTCTTATTCAAATTTTGGAAGAGTTTGCACAAATATCTATACTTTCATACTTAAAACAACCACCCAAACCAAACACCCTGTTAGCTCATGTTATTTCTGATTAAAGAACAAAAAACTCCTTTACATGGAAGGAATTCTAGACAGCAAATTCTATAACCAGTGGGACATTTTGATTAATGCTCCAAGAACAAACTATGGAATTGACTAAAAACATCAGCTGGAGTTTCTTTCCAAAAGGCACAGGTTCTCAGGCAAAGGTGGCATCCCAGGCAGAGAACCTCCTCAAACAGGAAGGAATTGCAAGGACAGGACGATCTCAAGGTGTTGCTGTGAACCAAGAAGAGCGTGGGCACGTTACTGGGACGGGAGGGCATGTGGGACCTGCCCTTCAAACTTCCATCAGCTTCCAACTTTTTTGCCCCGTTTCAAGTATGTTTCATCCTGCGTAAGAATATTGACTCTAGGTCTTGGTAGCTCAGCTGGTGTCGGACTGGAAAAGAACTGGAGCATCGTCTTTCCTGATGGAAGACAGCAGCAAAACGTCGTGGCTACCAGCTAAAGTGAGGTGGTTACGGAGAAGGAAACTGCTTCTCCTAACCCCGCCACTCACATCCTGTACCATCTGGGAATGCCAAACTGGGAATGCAAGACTCCACTGGTCAGCTCTCCATTTGCAAAACTTACGCAACCTTTTCCGATACCTGGATGAAAGGCACCACACACTGTTGCTTTGGAAGTTATCCTGCCCTACTGGGATTTGTTTTTCCAAGATCTGTCAAGCAGCGCTACGTTGAAATTAGAAAGGTTTCAGGTGTCTGCAACAACGTTAGCATTTTTCATTGCTCTTGAACTCTTATTTACGCTCCTTGTTCTCCAAAGCAGAGTGATGACCGTGCCATTTAAAGTGCCATCACAACACCTGCCAGTCATCAGGACAAGGCCAGTCTGAGTTTGGGGACTGAGAAGCTCCAACCTAACACAGCAACTGTTTAACCTGCAGTGGTGCCTCACAGTTGCTGGTATGGGAAAAGCGTGTACAGGAGTTGGTTACCTGGTGTGGGAAGGACGCAATCTTGTTGCAAGATATATCAACATGCACGTTTTAACACCTTTTGTTATTAATTGACTGTCTACCTGAAGAAAAAAGAAACATTTTCCATCAGTGGATTTCACTCTGTTGCCAAAATGATGTAAAACTAAAGTCTAGTCTGCTTTCACTTACTCACTTTCTACTTTCCAGTTACTACAGAAGGTTTAACACAAACCCACCACTACTACTCACAGAAAACCACACTAGCCCTGAACTTGACCTCGCCAACACTTCTCCTTGGCCACGACAAACTTCACTCTGATAAAGCTGCACAAATCCACCGGTTTAGTTCTACGAGCAGCAATTTATTTGACCCCCAATGGCTAAACAGAGGGCAAGGGAAATATTTACTGCTCGGTCACTGGAGATAATCCCTGTCCCCCCCACCTTTTCACTGCCCAAGCTGAATTTCAGAGGTGGAACCACCAGTTCTAGTAGACTGGGTCTAATTTAGTTGCTGATCCAGTAACTAAAGCGAGGTATTGTGCCGTTTGTAACGGCATGCAGAGACTCCCAGTCGCTGCGCCTTTGCCTTTTAAACCGTAGAAAACCAAAATAATTTAAACCTGCTGATTCCTCTCAAAACACCCTGAAGACACGGAACACCTACAGAAGAAAACACCTTGAAGTTTTGTACAAAACTCGTTTCAAAGGCGCTGCCGTTCAGATCCAAAAATATTTTTGGTTCTTCAAGAACTGAAACAATCTGAAAATTTCTGATAGGTGTGGCCGGGTGAGCACACACACTGCCCTTCTGGCAGCGCAGGGAGAGAACCACAAAACAACCTGCTGGCAGAGGTGGTGAGACCAACAACACAACAACCTGCTGGCAGAGGTGGTGAAGACAGATCTGTGTACGTTCCCAAGAGAAAGCACTCGCTGCACAGTTGACTCACAGGTTTTATTTACACTTGTCTACAGCATCACGTTGCCTTACATTTTATCTAAGCCAAACTCTCCTTTGTCCGTAGCCTATCGTTTGCTAAATTTAAAAACTTTCATCTGTTAAGTACAGCAACGATTTGAATACAAAGCACGAGGGAAAACCGAAGGCTAACAACATGGCATCTATTGGATCTGATGTTTACAGCTGAGCAGTTGGACTTCGAGGTCGTCGGAGGCAGTTACAAGACTAGCCTGCTCTTGTGCAATCTACACACATCTAGCATTGACATTGGATAGAAAAGATAAGCCTTCAAGAAGAAACTGCAGAGCGTTTTTTTTTTCTGCAAAAAGATTATGAAAATATCTCTACACCGAAAGCGTTTTGCTGATATACCAGTCCAAAAGAAGCGTCTTAAAAAAAAAAAACCAAAAAAAAGAAAAGAAAAGAAAGCAGAATGTAGTTTTTAAATTTTGCTCCGTTTGTTTTTGTGCAGTTCATTTAAGAAAAGCAGCGGTCAAATATGGGTTTGGAAGTTTTCCTTCTGAGATCAATACAGATATATTGCTGTTTGCTTGCTTAAAAAGAAGAACTTTCCTTAACATACTTACCTTGCGACGGCACTGAAGACACTTAAACCTTTCTTAACCAAACGGAGCTCAAGAGATATTGTGATATTGCTAGCAAAACAGAGTCAATAAAGCATTTTAAGCCATAAATCATGTTTAAGGGAAAAAGAATGATTGATGAAGAACACATTTAAGATGTCAGAGCTTTCTGTACAGTTTATTTTCATTTTTAAATATAAAGAAAATTCAGATACCTTGAAAATTTTAGTCAGCCCCAAATGAATTTTACGGGCGGCCTGCAGAAGCTTCACTTGACTCCAAGAAGCTAGTTCCACACTCCTCCACCTCCGGAGCAGCTCCTAACTGATCCTTTCGTAAGGAAGGACCGCAGAGTCCTGGGCAAACACCGCAGCCAGCACCCACTGCAGACAGGGCACTGCGCTGGCTGCAGCACACAATTCCTAGTGACGGGCACCGGCAGCGATGGCACTCGAGCGACGGAGAGGACAGTGCCCAACGTCTCCAACACGCTCACTTTGAAGGAATGAGGTCTACTTGATGGACTGGGTATTTCATAGCTACTCTGCACTGAGCACAGCTAAAGAGAAAGAGGGGCATCCACCTATGCTTTTAATTCAACACAGGAAAACAAAAAGTAATTAGACCTACGTACTCACTACCGTCATCCAAGGGGTAACACCAACCCTACAGCTACGCTCATCTTCTGTGGTCCCACAGGAGCTCCAGCAAACAAGCTCAGGAGCTGGATGCAGAGAGCTCATGGGTTCTTCCTGTATTCCTCAGATTCTTTTTTTGTCAATGTCACGTGAAGAGCAAAGTTGTATTAGAACACGTCCAGCCTGTGCCTGCTCATACACGTAAGGGAGCCAGGAATAGAGTAACTGAGTCTTTAAAAATAATAAAAACCCCCTTACTCAAATAATAAAACTTCACGCCTCCTCTGGGGAGTTTATGGCTTAAAATGCTACCTCACTTTTTGTTTCATGAATGAACAAAGCTGCAGTTTTCCAGAAAGCAAGGACAGACATGCACCTCTACTAGCAGATTTAGCACTTCTGACCAAGTAAGACACCAACTTCTTAAAAATGTCTCATGCACTGACTGGAATTTTTTTTTTTTTTTTTTTAAATCTGAGCTTTAATACATTATTTCTTTTTAGAACTTGTACGGGAACCAGAATGGGAAGATCCAGATGATGATCTGCGGCGTCTGTAAGATATAAATGGAGAAAGCATGCAAAGAAATAAGTTTAAATTAATTTTAGCATCCGCTTTGAGTAGTCTGTATCCTACAATAGCTGGAAGCCAAGTATATCTGATAGGGGCCTTATAAGAATATAGAAATAACTTTAAACCACTTTAAGCTCATGAACATGGATTTAGTACTAAAAATCTAAGTTTAATTCTGAAAGTATAATACAATTTCTAAATGCCATCTTAACTTAATGAAAATAAATCAGTGATGTACACGTTAACACTTTCACACACTGAAAGAATGGTGACTCGGGTCTCTATGGAACATGCTCCTAGCAGGAGGAAATTTCATTGGAGTGGGGGGAAAAAAAAAAAAAGGCAATTACAGAGGTCTTAATAGGAAGTAAGAGTAGGGGAAGTAAGAAAACTACTTTTAATATCAGAATAACTGATCAGATTCAATTCCTTCCCAGTGAATCTCAGTCCTTCAGGAAAAAAAAAAAAAAAAATCACACATTTAAATACATCCATTCTTATTCTACATAAACCCAAACCTTTCGGGTGACCGTGATCTCGATCGTCTTTTTTTGCGATCACCAGGTGAAGAGGATCTAGAACGACTTCGCTTCTTGCTTCTCTCGGGGGAAGACGAGGAACGAGAGCTTGAGTAAGATCTTTTTCTCGGGGTGGAAGACCCCCTGTAGGACCTGGAGCTGGATCTTTATTGATCAAGAAATAAATCAGATTTAATTCTGGTATAGCATAGAAAGAACAAAGAAAGAACAAAAAGAGACAGTTTTCAAGAACATTCACTACTATTTACATCGGTGCTTTATCAAAAAAAGCTGTGGATGCTTTAATACTTACTCCTTAGTTATCTGCCAATAAAGACTTCTACTGCCGTGGTAGCTTTCTTAATAAACTTTGCTAAATAGTGTTTCTTGATACACAGACCACCCACGGCCTAGAAATCTTTTTCCAGCATTCTCCAGAACGGCACGTTTTGACAAGGAAGTGATGGGAGACTGGGCCAGGAAGGAGGAGGTCCTCTGTAAGGACCTTCCTCAGTAGTTCAGTTCACAGAGCAAAACGGCTGGGAAACTACAGATGTAATGCTGATTTAACAATGTGTCACTTGATACTAGTGAGTATTTCACACTGGGGATCTGTAAAGTAATAGTTATCTTACTATCTTACACCCTCAGAAGGTGTATTTGCAAATCTCAAAATAAATTTGGGTAGAGAATAAGACCTTCCACAATCAAAATATTTTAAAAACCCTCTTGGAATACAGTCATTTAAAAAAAAAAACCAACCAAACAAAACAAACCAAAAATGAACTAACAAGCACTTAAAGATCACTTTGGTTATCTAAACAAAACCAAGAAAAACCAACCCACACTTGTAGGAAAAGCAATAGAGCTAGAAAGTCCTCAACTAAAATTCTGAAATGATATAAAACCACCTAAGAGGATTTCTTGTCAGTAAGCTGGATAAAACATTAGCCCCCCCACGTATGCTGATGTTACTGGTGAAATATTGTCAGGGTTCTCGTCGTGACAGAGCAGTCCTACGTCACAGGAGCTAACACACTGCGGGCACTTGGGAGATGCCACGTGGCACAAGCAAATAACCAGCTGGGCTGGCGAGTCCCTTCAGCTCCTGGGAGGGGCACAGGCACCCTGTTCCTTTTTCTCCTCCTAAAAGCACGAGTGCCATCCAGTGCTGACCCTCACGTGACAATCCACACCACGTCCCTGCCACCAAGGGGCGGTGGCACCACTGGTGATGGGTCTTCCCAACTCAAACCTCCTTATTTACAGGTTTAAGACTCTCTGCACGCACGGAGACGGGGCAGCTCTTCGTTCCACCGCAAAGGGACATCCTGCCAGCAGGACACCTCGGGGAACTCACTTGCTCTTGTTACTCCTCCTGGCACAGGTCAGCACCCAAACGTCAGCTAGCTCAAACTCCTGCCAGCTTCTCGCACCACTTACTACCAACGTTTTGACACATTCCCTCCATATTTACAAGGATAACGGCAGCACTACCTAGTGGAAGGTGGGTACGTTAAGTGAGCGATCACTAACACAGAACCAGGAGGACAGCGCGTTTTCTAACGTTCTTCCACATCAAGTAGCCGAAGTGGCAACAGTAAACTCAGCAAAAATTACTGGGGCAGGTAAACATGCATCAAATTCTTCTTCTTTCAGAGTGCAGATGTGTGGCGTCCACTCGTCTAGCTTAGATCAGACTGAAACTCTTCAACCACAGCCTGGCATTCTCAAGAAACACAGCTGTGGTGGTAACAACCTCCTGCAGAGACCCCGGGGGTTCTGACTTCCGAGATAAAAACCAGTTAATGTTTTTTCACCGGCACAATTTTTACGATGGAATCAACAAGCGGGTGGTTCTTCTGCCCTTTTCTCTCTCTGCAAGGAGAGAGTGCTACCTCATTCACCTTGATTTCGACCCACGAGATCTAGAGTGTTCTCTGGAACTGGAACGAGATCTTGATCTGGAACTGGAAGAGCTTCTTGAATGGGACCTGAAACAACACGGAAGGTTTTTTTTCCAGTGTCTGACTTGTATTTAACAGAACAACTACTACTGTGAGCAGCAGAGACAATGATGCATCGATACAACTTGGCCTAGGGTCACTGCAGAAGTGACAATTTCCTCCTACTCCCCCAGTATGGCCACAGCACATTTCAAAACAGAAACTTTAACACAGCAAGATGGTGCATTAAAAAATTCATAAAGTCAGCTTTTTGTTACGTTCCCTAAAACAAAGCACAAAAATTAAACAGGTTTGCAGTTATTTGGTGAAACGAAACAACTGCATATCTATTAACTACTTCATGAAATCAGTGACATCACTTTTAATTTGTGCCTTAAGTTGAAAGCCATCAGCTTCTTTGAAAACCAGAGAAAATAAGAGTTTTAGGACTCGCTAGTTCAAATTTTCCCCGAGTCAGGTCTCACAAGCATTCTGAAGCAGTTTCAAGTTTTCCTAAAGATTTTTCCCCTGCATTAAAAATTAAACTGTGGTTAATTCTTGGCTAAAATACGGACATATCTAACGCTACTTATAAGTAGTCAAAATTATTTCCAAATTTTTCATGTTGATGGATTTTTTTAAAGCACAAACCACAAGGTATGTAGAAATGGTAGCGGACTTGCAGTAACCATTGCAAAAAGAAGGCATAGCAATTAAAGTCTAATAATCTTTTCAGGAAAAATATATTACACATGCTGGTGACCTCCCAGTTTGTATTGTTACCATGTCTTTTTCACTTTACTGTGCAAAACAAAAGCAGTATGAGCACGTTACCTAGAAAATATGCTTAAACCTTTTTAAAAAGCACAAAGAAACATCCACAAATGACAATTGGTATTTCCAATTCATTATCTGTAGCTAAAGGCAAAAAGTTGGAAGATCCCTAGCAAATTTTGGTTATGACAAGCTACTTTTTACTTGACTGTTAACATTTGTGAATTAGTGAAAAGAGTTATGGCCAGATGAAGTTCTTCTGTCTTCTTTGCCCTTCCCACCCCTAAGCCCAAGAACTGCACACATGCAATACTGTCCACACGCAGGACAACACGGCCACCTCCTCAAGGATCTGGCCCCACACCTCACTTCGTTCCCAAAAATCAGCTTAGTCACTGCTATTCACTTGGTGCTCCTCCTTGGAGCCACGTGGCAAACACAGGTCTGGAGGGGGCGTGTGAAGGAGCGGGGAGGCTGGCAACAGGCATGGTGAAGAACGTCACTTTTCACAGAAAATGCAGCACGAAAAAAGCATGACAGCAACAGGGAGAAAGACAAAACAGAGCCAGTGGCTGACATCTGGTTAGTATGAGAGTGTGGGGAACGTGGGCAGCGACCACAGCGGTGAGAGCGGAGAGGTGCAGTTACAAAGCTGGGAAGATGAGAAGAAACCTGAACTTTATGCACACGACCTTCATGTATAACCCTACGAGCTAGTACCGATCCGAGGTCTCAGACTTGTCGGTGTCATCCTTGTATTAGCTGTAAATCACGTTGTACCTTACATCACGTGATTGAAAAGCATTTATTGAATTGTTCATATATTATCAAATTTAAACAATAATGTGAGATCTTACATCTACCCAACGGACTTTTTTTTTGTGGCCCCATGACCAACATACGCCTGCAGCGTTACCCTGACAACACTGCCACCGTAATCAAAGATTTGTCTCTTGCCATCAAGCTAAGTTCAAGTTTCTTGTCTTTACTTCCAGGATATTTTCCATTCTGTCCTTTCACTGGAGCTGTCTGGACTGCATCACCACTGCCCTCTCCTGCCACCTCCTCCCACTTTCACACCACCTTCTGGTCCCCTGTTCAACAGCTTAACGTTGCTAAAAAAAGTTCACCCACTGAATCACATACGGCCAACAAGCCTAAAAATAAAACTGAAAATAAGTCATATTTTTAAATTTATTTGAAGGATTCAATTGATATATGAACTTAAAACTTCCTAGAACAAGCAACGAGACATATGAGGCCTCTCTGCTCAGGACCCACAAACAGAACACGATCTACCTGTGTAAATTCCGTACACAAAATTAACATTGTTAAACTAAAACTGTAAGGCAATCAAGAAAAAAAGTAAATAAAGAAGTTAGATACTGACATTTTGCCTGGCGTTACCCTTGACCTGTACCCGTTTACCTGGACCTAGACCTTGAGCTTGAGTGAGAGGATGAGCGCGATGAAGAGCGGGAGTGGGAAGATGGAGACTTGGAACGACTGCGCCTATTGGATTTCTTTTTCTTATTACTGTCCTCTTCCTCACTGGCATCCAGATTATACTTTGAGAGGTCAGCATCATCTTCATCCTCATCCTGGAATAATACAGAGATTGAAGAAATACTTAAGTTTGCTTTCTTCAGTCAATGTTTTTTACTTATTCTGTGGTTTGTGCTTTTTTTCAACCTTTGAAAATACTGTCAGTGCATTTAATGAGATCCAAAAGTTTTAAGAGTAAAGAGTGACTGAAAACGTGTCTTTCGAAGCGAATTACGAAAAGGTCTGCAAAAAAACCATCTGAAGTCTCATTTTCTGTTCTTTAATGAAGTTCATTATTACCAGTTACTTTAAACTAGTGCCTGGAAGAACTTTTAGACTCAAAAATCTCTAACCATAGCATAATTCTGCAGACACATTCCACATGCAGAATTTGGTGATTGCTGTGTTCAAAATAAGCACATAAGCATGTCCCTGCAGGACTGCTGTTCAAAGACGTGGACAATCCAGTACATGATGATCATGTATTTCAGGAAAGATGAAAAAAATCTGAGTATTTTATTCCTTTTTGTAAAAAAATTAATCTGATGTGGTTTCAAAAGGCTAAAATTCAAGTACGTTGCCTTTATATGGTAACCACACATCAAGCTTCTAAGTAAGGATCTCAAAATTTTTGAGTCTGATCTCAGATAAGCTTTTAATTTTTTATGGTTTAAAACAATTATACATGTTTAAGTGCAGGTATTTAGAGCAGAACAGAGCTGCAGGCACCATTATTCTGACAGCTCCTCCTTTACGCCGCTCTAAAGGCAGCTAAAAACACAGACCATACTAAACAGCACTGTGGTAATCATTAAAAAACAACTGTTAGGAAAAAACCAAAACACTCTACCTCATCCAATTTATATTTGGAGAGATCTCCATCCTCATCCTCCTCATCTTCCCCTTCAGATTCCTTATCTTCTACTTCCTTCAGGATAGATGCGGGACCGACCGGCTTCCCTCGATATTTTTTCTTTTTGCGTCCAAACTAAGAAATTTGATTCCATTAGATCAGGGTTTAATAAAAAGTAATTTCCACCTGTATTTTTTGATAAAACTTCTGAGAAAATAAATATACATCATTTTCAAATAAGCTACTGCTACGAAACAACAACTAGCAACAAGAAACCTTCTGCAGGAGATGCTTCTCTTTGATACAACTAGTAGCCACAGACAAGACGAACGGAAATCTGAGTTTAGAATCATGGAATCACAGACTGGTTTGGGTTGGAAGGGTCCTCAAAGATCATCTAGTCCCAACCCCCCTGCCATGGGCAGGGACACCCTCCACTACACCAGGAATTTGAATTTAACAAAAGATTATTTTATGTTCGTGTCTGTGGGGCACCTTTTTAAGACAACGTTGGACATCTGGCAGAAAACAACATGCATGACCAGCTCCCTGAGAAATGTAACCAACTCTGCTTGCTCCAGTTTAATTTGACCTCACTCTTAGTTTTTAACCCCCAAAAAGACAAACCAGAAGCATTCACTTTCTGTTCAAAACTTTCACACCTGAGCAGCTGACAGAGACGCATCACAACGTACTTCTGAAGTGCTCTTCCCCAGAAGAGTTTGGGAAACCAAACGCAGAGGCACATACCCTCAACGCCAAGCACACAAGACGTATCTCTCCAGACCCAGACACCACCTTGTCTCACCTCATCGTACTCCCCGTCCGACTCCTCGCGCTCGATGTACTCCACGTTCTCTCGTTCATTAAATCCTCCTCCGTATCCTGTAACAAAGGGGACAAGACAACAAATTCGGCTACACTAAGCACAAAGTTTAGGACAGGCTTCCACAGAGCTGCTGGAAGCCTGCGGTGCGTTTAGAAACACGTGCAACAAGAACACAACATGATCTCAAGAGGAACATGAATTGTTCCCACACACGTTTGCGAAATGTAGTTCCTCAGGAACCTCGTGGAGAAAAGGGATTAAGACACACAAAACCACAGAAGCCACAGAGGTTAAAAGAACGGAAAAACAATTATGTATCAATAAATGTCAGGATTACAGCCGTGCTGAGCACCCAGCTGCCCAGCAGAGCTCTGGTGGGGCCGCAGTGCCCGGCAGTGTGGTGGCTACAGACCCAAGGTTGTCTCCCAGGGGCCATGACAAAGGCTGCTGCCCTCGACGGCCACAACCCCGCCTTGGAGCAGCCAGTGGCCAACTCGGGGAAGCGGGCAACCAAACACGGGCGAGGGCAACCCTGGCTAACTGCCTTCCCAGCTGCTGCTCTTTGCCACAGGCAGGTCCGAGGCGCAGGCAGCCTCCGGGGCACCAGCCCGCTCCCACACCACAGCTACTCTGTGATGGATACATCCTGAGGGAGCAGGGGGAATAAAAGCCCCTTGGAGTTGCACTGAGTTGTACAACTGCTCAGATTTGCCTTAAGGACCTTTCCATTCCTTTGGATAACGTGAGTGGAAAACTTCAGCACTCGTTTTCATTCCAGCTGACTTGGTGATTTACTGCAAGCACGTGCCACGTGCTGGGTGTCCTGCAGGGACTGCAGGGTTACTCCGAGGGGCACCAGCACTTGAAAAATCAATTATTATTTAAAAAACTCAATAATAGAAACACAATAAATATTATTCTTCACTATTCTCACCGTATTAAATAAGAACACTTTAAATATTCTTTTTCCTTCTGAATAACAAGCCCTGTGCTCTTCCCCATCCTTCTTTTCCTAGTGTTACACCCTGTGCCTTCCACTCTGCCTGATCCCGTGTGCAGTGGTGACAGCGTAAGCAGTTACAACCGCCCTGTACGGCCATCCTCTGCTCCACCCACCCCTGCCTTCATCCTTCATGCAGGAACTTACAACGAGTCAGCGTGACCAAACCTCACCCCTCACCAAGAGGTCACAGTCTCACCTCCACATGCTGCTCCTGTGACTCCGAGCCCCCGTGGATGGACACCACACACACCAGACCCTCTGGAGTTCCATAAAACACTGCCTGACCCCTTCCCAGTGTCTCAGTATCAAGATCAAACACAGAGGCAGCTCAAGCTGAATATTTGTTGACTTTCCAAAGGAAACCATCACATACTTCCCACACTACTGGAGGTAATTAAGCCTGAGAACCTACAGATTCATTTACACATGGAACATTATTCAACTCACTTCTGCTGTGAAAACAATCCCTCTAATTAAACCCCATTGTGATTCATAAAAAGCAGTTTTCTTACAGTAACTTTAAAACCATACACATTTTACCTGTTCTTTCCTCCAGTTTAGCGTACTTGGGAGTGTTACACATGTTACACTCTGATCTTCTGGCCCAGTTCACGTTACCACATCTTCGGAGGCAAAAAGAACAAAACAGGAATCAGAAACATTTTATTTCAAATCCAAAAGCATTAAGTGTTGAGGCAACACTTAAAAAAAACCCCAAAACCCCTCAATGTGAAAAGGTATTTGCCAAGTTCTAGCAGTGATCTGCAGTCACTAGCACAACACAACCGAGTCCAAGGCCAACAGCCACCGAGAGACAAGGAACAGCAAGAGAGTCTACGGGCATTTCACCCGCCTGAGGATGCTGGGAGGATGACCACACTGGACAAAACAAGGGCAAAGAAGTAAAAAAAGCATTAAAATTCCTCATTACTCTCCACTTGTGGCATGGGCAGTTCAGAGGAGTTAAGGAAGGAGCTGCCACAGGAATAATGCTGATGAGCAGTCGCCGTCACCCACCGATGCACAGTTACATGCTTCTGCTACTGCACTTCTGTCTCATGGTGTCCTAAAAGGCCACTCATGCTTCCTCCATCCACACCACGATCACAGGGTGCTGCTGAGGAGGAGGAGGAGGAGGAGGACTCTAATATACAGTCTAGCTGTGAACTTGGAAAACCAGGACGATCCTAAAACGTTACATCAGGGGATTCCCTCAGACACCGCTGCCCAGGGAACCTGCTCGTCTCGTGCTGCAGAGCAGCACAAACAGAAAGCCATCAAGCTGAACACAGCCAAGTTCTGAGAGAAAAAAAAAACAAATCCAGGTTTCACTGGTCAGGTAGACTAGTCAATTAGCAAAAGCTGAAATCCTTAAAGGTGCTCCAGAAAATCTGAAAGCACCTTTCAAAGACCAAAGCATTTTATTAAAGTCGTCCTTTTCAAATTTAGATCTTCGTGTTCCTAACTGGTGCCTTGGAGAGACACCTGAGAACGTTTATGGGCTGAACTTTACTCGCTGAGTATCTGAGTGAGTGTTAACAACAAAGTGCTACACTGCAGCGAGGGCGTTACTTCCACCTACGCGCTTCTGCCCAGCTCGAGAAGAGCCTCGCCTTATCGGAGAAAACCAGGAACTTTTACCTTTCTAGTCCTGGCTTTTTTGTCTTTTCCAGCCATGTTAATTACGTGACTGCTGCCCAGCAGCCAGACCCCAGTGCCGTCCTCACAGCGGAACACCACTAGTGGGACAGCTGGGGCTTTAATCACGCTTCTCTCACCAGTACAGTAAATTTACACACGTGTCACACCGCAGATGTGCTGCGCGGCCCTGAGAGAACGCTCTGCGTTTTTTAAAAGGGCATACGTTTTACACTGCCAGTCGTTAGCACTGAAGAGGCCACGACTCTTTTCAGCCAGTGTCTTTCCTATTTCAGTCCCTCCCGCTTTCATCATTTTGGCTTCTGTCGTTTTTTCTAGAAAAGAAAAAAAAACAAACACAAGACCAGCGTTCAAGCATCTTCCTTTTAAGCGATCTAACGTTATTTCGCTTGAAAGGGGCGGACAAGGACGAGGAAAGACGCATCTTTTGAGGCACTCACCCCTCCCGCATCTGTTACAGCTGGTTCTTCTGGCAAAGTTCACGTTCCCACACCTGGAAACGGAAACAGAGCGCGAAGCCGCCGGTTAACCGACCGCCGGGAAAC